GGCAAAAAGATCACTATGAAGTCTCTGAGCTTTGACGATAACACTTCTATATAGTAAAGGAGCCTAGTAGTTAGGCCTTTGCCCATTTCTAAGGAACTATTTTCAATCCAACAATAATTACTACGAACAAGTTAAGGGAACCCCAACGGGTTCGCCAATATCCAAACTGATCACCGAAATATAGTTGCAGGGAGTAGAAGAAGAGGTTCCTTAAGCAAGCTAACTCGACAAGTGGCTTTGTAATACAGATGCTACAGTGTCGCAATAAAAAACTGGAAAGCCGAACAGGTGCACCTGTGCAGTTATATAGTTTACGCATGAAGAGGTAGTAAGACTTAGCTTGACGTTTCTGGACGTACGAATACAAAGTCTGAGCCATGGTAGTCTCTCAAAAAGCGTCCATCAAAAGGGGTCCAATGCTAAGATCATCGTCAATTATGGACGCAAGCGCCCTGTGGTTCACAAAAGGGCTTACCGTTTTTTGTAGCGGAGAATATCTTTTACGAAGGAGCTCATCATTACTTGACTGATAAGATCTAACGACCCTTAAAGAACTGCCTCAGGCAGCAGGCACAACCAAAAGGCCCACTTCGAATGGAGAAATTGTAGCAGAATGATTATAGTGACCGCTTGATATGCAGGTGGCCGCTGAAGTCATCACCCCACAGTTAAATCGCCTTAGTATTCACATCGTCTACACGTCAGCATCCTCGCTACGTGCAGTCATGTCTCGAATAAAGGGTTCCATCACCAACTGGCAACGAAAAAAAGTAATTAACCACGCCCTCTGCATACATTGCTCCTGTGTCAATGTTAGCCATAGGCGTTAACGTCTGGGCAGCCGCGTTAATGAACACAAACTGGCTGTCTGTCGCTGAGACTCCCTTGCCCTCGTCATTACACACGCATTCGGGTGCGATCGCCGATTAATTTGTGATAACACTGAGGTCGTCATCATTGCCGAAACAAAAACCAACACGAGAACTCGTACTCCAGAGCGAGTAGGATCAAACGCCATGTTGACCTAGAGACCCATAACGAGGGCCTACGACCACAACTTATTGACCGCTGTCCTTATCGCACATCGGTTATCACCAATGCAGCCATCCACAGTCCAAATGATCCCACATCCACCATCCCACGCCTTTAAAGTACAGCGAACCGTAATTGATCCGCTTCCCCTTTTTACCTTTCAGAAATCCACCATCTCACACGCCAATAGTCCGCGTGTGACGGTGCATTTGTTTTCATTTCATTTGACAACCGGTTGATGTCACCAGCTCGAAAATTCACGAGTATAACTCGACGTTTCCGAAGAACCTCTTCCATTTTCCTTGTATACGAGATAATTTATCACCCACGCAACCTGACTCACAGTCTGGGCACAAGGGGATGGGCGGCTCGGATCTCACACTCGCGTGTGCGCCAAGGAGGACACGGCGAGGAGCGATCGAATTGCCTGCCTTCCATTTACATGAGAGGTGCTGGCACCACGCTGGTCAG